CCAATGTTGTAAGCTACATTGTGTAGCATGTAGTATAAATCAGTTACAATTGGTGCATTGTGAGAATAATTAATACTAAATACCATCCATTTGTTACATCTATTTTAGCAATGATCCCAAGCAATTGAGCTTCTAAATATCCCCTGTGTAGCTTTAGCACAAGTGCACCCATGATATTTAGTGTTCAGTCCTGTTACTAACATTACTAGTAATTGGCCACTAAGAGTAGCAACTGATAGCAACACAGATGGAAGAAATGTCTCCATATGGTATGACCTACACTGAGCCTGTAGCTGTGTTTTGGAGAATTGTGTGATCATGTGCAATTAATCGCTACTAAATTCTACTTGTGTGGCTCTTACCATAGGGAAGACATTTGCTCCATCTGTGTAGTGATAATTAACTACTTTGTGATTACTCTCTAGATAGTTTCTTAGCCTGATGAGCTGATAAAATTGCCTGTGTGCTCCTGTATTTAATGTTATTTGTATTAGCAAACTGGGTCATTGTCATCCACCATTTCCAGTTAAAGAGAGTATAACTTTCATCCTTGAGGAGTACAGGAAGTCAACTCTGTTTGAAAAAAGCTGAACGTTTGAATCTATACTCATAGTTGCTACTTATACGAGAATGTGGAATTTTGTGTGCTGCTCCTTCAATAGTGGGGCTACCGCTGGAAGCACTGCAGCAGTAACAGTATCCATAGCAGTATAATTATCTGCTAATAGTGAACTCATCGTGATATTCGTGGCTTATAACTGTAATTTCTGTTAGGATATTTTCTCTTATTTTATGTAGCTGTGCAGGAGTCTGGCATGAGCTGGGCATCATGCCATTTTTTTCCACCGCCAGCATTCATGAAACTGCAAAGATATTTCATGTGCAATTCCCATTCTTTTTTTATTACAGTGTAACAGGTCTTGACTGTTAATTAATCTGAATGTATAGTATGTATATAACTATACGGTTCTTGATCCTTGCATTTATGATCTCACCTCTGAAGGGAAACGTTTGTGTTTTTTAGAGAGTACATATGTGTAATTGTTGAAACCTAATGTTTTAACTTTTTTTTTTTTGCAAGTTTACTGTTCTATATTTTGATGATTGTACTTCACATACTGATTTTTGGGTTCTCCCTCTAGTGGCTAACTATGAAGACCTAGTTTATTAAGCAACAACTCCTGCAGTTTACAGAAATAAGAGCTATACATAAATGAAAATAAAATCACTTTTCTCTTGCACGGAATAATGACAGGTCTTCTTTGCTACTAAAACTAACCTTCCCATGTTTCTCCACGTCCCTCTTTGCTCACTACAGCACTGTGTAAGCTTAGTGTCGGTTTATGGCAGAGTTTACACAGGGCTAAGGACCACCTGCTCCATGTGACAGTGCTTGGGCCTATCCACTAGCAGCTCAGGCATCATGCACTGTGTAGTGGGAGGAAGGTGAAAAGGTCACATGTTCCTCTGTATTAGTAAGTGGCAGATATTTCCAAGGGCTCCTGGCTGATGAGAGGGCAGTGGGTGGTATGGGGATGAGCAATACCAGTAGGAGGAGGTGAGAATGGGCAAAGTGAACAAATTTAGTTTAAGGGAAGTTGGAACATGCAGGCTTGTCTGTCTGCTCAGCTAGGCCTATGTAAGTATGTGGATAGCATGGTATAATTGCTCCACTGCCAGGGGTTTCCAGGGCCAGTATATAAAGTGATAAACCACAATGTTTCAAATTCTCCCTGTATCCCTCAGGCAGAAGGAGGTGTCTAGTATTGCCCGTAGACATAAGCTATCTTGGCTGCACAGACAGTTTAGTTTTTTTTGTTATTAGTCTGAGTAGATGGGTAGACTTGTCCTAGAGGAATAGTAAAGCACAATTACTACTAAACTGGAAGCAAATGGGGCCCCTGCATGTGCATATAACTTTAATAAATATTGTAAACCCAGGAGGTAAGAAGGACAGTGAGCTCTGCCCTCCCTCTCACTTCTGGGGAAAGGCAAAGTGAGCAGCGGGCCTTGTGGTTCTTGGTTGCTCAAAGTAGCAGTCACAGGTGTTCAGCTGAGCATGCGCAGGTGAAAGTGTTACATAACAGGAACACTTTCACATGTGCATACCCACAGGAAGTATGCATTGGATTTTTCTGCCAACACTTAAGGTGCCCATAAACCTTACGAATATCGTCCATTTTTCGTTTCCGATGGCGTCTTCGTACAATATTCGCAAGGTTGATGGGCAGTGTACAACTGCAAATACTGTACAATCATATGACATTTGATTTTCCTGCAGGCTAGAAAACTTCTGTCGATTCGTACGAAATTCGCTAGGTTGGTGTCGTTTGCGTGCGTCAAAATTCGCACCATTAACACTGCTCATGCGCAAACAAAAATCTGTTCCATCAATTAATGAAATTTGGCCAGGTGATTTTGCTAACAACTAATTGAACTATTCAATGGTCTGTGCATGATGGGGCCGTCGTACAAAAATCAAGGTGTATGGCCAGCTTTAGTGTGCACTACAGTGCACTAAACTGAGGGCACCAGGCTGTGTCCCAGCCCAACAAGCCCCACCCACATCCCATCCTTCCAGTTTTCTGTGTCTCACTAGTTACCTGAGAGCGTGATGGCCTTGCCTTCAATGGACTGGGTTGATGCACCCGTGCACTTTTGCACTTGTCGACACCACCGTGATACTCTTTTCTGTGCTTGCCAACACTGCACCAACAAGCACTTCTTCTCTC